TGTCTCCGGCGGAGAGGGAGTGACGGATCTACCTTTTAGGGTTGCTGTCTCCTGACGGAGGGGAGTGACGGGGTATTACCTGTGGTGTTGCTGTCTCCTGGCGAGAGGAGTGCGTGAAATCTCCCCTGTTATGTTGCTGTCTCCTGACGGAGAGGGAGTGACGTGTATATACCTGGGGTTGTTGCTGCCCTCCTGGCGGAGAGGGATTAAACGTGTACTACCTGTGGGGGTTCTGTCTCCTGCGAGAGGAGTAACGTGTATCTACCTGTGGTGTTGCTGTCTCCCTGGCGGAGGAGGGAGTGACGTGTATCTACCTGTGGTGTGCTGTCTCCTGGCGGAGAGGGATACCCGTGTATCTACCTGTGGTTATGTTGCTGTCTCCTGGCGGAGAGGGAGTGACGTGTATTCTGGGGGTGTTGCGGGTCCCTCCTGGCCGGAAAAAGGGAAAGTGACGTGAAATCAACCTGTGGTGTTGCTTGTCTCCTGACGGAGAGGGAGTACGTGTATTACCTGTGGTGTTGCTGGTCTCCTGGCGGAGAGGGAGTGACGTGTATCTACCTGTGGTGTTGCTGTCTCCTGGCGGAGAGGGAGTGACGTGTATGTACCTGTGGTGTTGCTGTCTCCTGGCGGAGAGGGAGTGACGTGTATATTACCTGTGGTGTTGCTGTCTCCTGGCGGAGAGGGAGTGGACGTTGTATCTACCTGTGGTGTTGCTGTCTCCTGCGGAGAGGGAGTGACGTGTATTACCTGTGTGTTGCTGTCTCCTGGCGGAGAGGGAGTGACGTGTATCTACTCTGTGGTGTTGCTGTCTCCTGGCGGAGAGGGAGTGACGTGTATTACCTGTGTGTTGCTGTCTCCTGGCGGAGAGGGAGTGACGTGTATTACCTGTGGTGTTGCTGTCTCCTGGCGGAGAGGGAGTGACGTGTATCTACCTGTGATGTTGCTGTCTCCTGGCGGAGAGGGAGTGACGTGTATCTACCTGTGGTGTTGCTGTCTCCTGGCGGAGAGGGAGTGACGTGTATCTACCTGTGATGTTGCTGTCTCCTGCGGAGAGGGAGTGACGGTATGTACCTGTGGTGTTGCTGTCTCCTGGCGGAGAGGGAGTGACGTTGTATCTACCTGTGTTGTTGCTGTCTCCTGGCGGAGAGGGAGTGACGTGTATCTACCTGTGTGTTGCTGTCTCCTGGCGGAGAGGGAGTGACGTGTATGTACCTGTGGTGTGTTACTGTTCCTGGCGAGAGGGAGTGACGTGTATCTACCTTGGTGTTGCTGTCTCCTGGCGGAGAGGGAGTGACGTGAAATGTACCTGTGTGTTGCTGTCTCCTGGCGGAGAGGGAGTGACGTGTATCTACCTGTGGTGTTACTGTCTCCTGGCGGAGAGGGAGTGACGTGTATGTACCTGTGGTGTTGCTGTCTCCTGGCGGAGAGGGAGTGACGTGTATGTACCTGTGGTGTTGCTGTCTCCTGGCGGAGAGGGAGTGACGTGTATGTACCTGTGCTGTTGCTGTCTCCTGGCGAGAGGGAGTGACGTGTATGTACCTGTGGTGTTGCTGTCTCCTGGCGGAGAGGGAGTGACGTGTATGTACCTGTGCTGTTGCTGTCTCCTGGATCTCCTCTCTTAAAACATCAAAATATCAACTGTAAATATTCCGTTCTTCTTGTTTCCCTGGAACTCATTCAATTTTCCCTGTCATGTAAAATATGAGTTTCTGTCTGCCTGTATCTCTGTCTCTTTGTCTCTGTCTTTGTCTTGGACCAGGGAGAGAGTGAACCTAGTAACGACCACCGAAGATGAAAGACCAGGAGCTGTGAATCGACCCTTGTAACAAGGTTAACTTAAAGTTGCTACCTTTATTTTCAAGCCAAGAGCTGTTACCTAACTCCGCTTATTTATAAGTCTTCCCTAGCATTATCTTTAGTCAAGATTTATTGAAGCAAGAACATGAAACAGGATGAAGTTGGAGCCAGCTATGGGTCATTTGAAAGAATGATGTCAGTACAGCCAGAGTGTAGTTGCTGTTTGCTGCCCGTCTTGTGGTGCAAGACGTGGTGCAGTAGCTGTCTTCTTGTCCGTGAAGTGGAACTTGGCCTTGTTCTCTATTCTGTCAAGAAGTCGTAGATGAAATGAAAGGAGAGGGGGTGAGGCAGTCCAGGAAAGTGGAGCATACTCAAGCTGTGAACGTACTTATACAGTTTTGTAGCCTGTGTTCTCAAGCAGGTACAGGTTATCCACCTCATTCCCGGGCTCAAACACTCCTCCCTTCATTCTTTCCACGCCTTCAGTATTAACATCATGTACACGAATGGTATACAATGTCGACAAGACGATGAATTAGACGAGCAGCAACTGGTTATTTTTATATATAGACGTTTCGCAATCCAGTGGCTTTGTCAATAAAAAATTCAAGGACATAATGTGAAGACTGTAGAACAATGTGCAAAAAATGAGGTGCAATCAGTCCCTCAGACTTGGACTTGAAGAGTACTTATACTCTTCACCAACTACAAGGTTGAGGGACTAATTACCTCATCTTTTGTATATAGTTCTTCAGTCTTCACACTATGTCCTTGAATTTTTATTGAAGATAGACTTAAAGCCTTAAATCTCCACTCTCTGGAGAGGCGTAGAATGAGGGGAGATATCATTGAAGTGTATAAGTGGATGACGGGCATAAACAAGGGAGATATTAATAAAGTACTGAGGGTGTCGAACCAGGTAAGAACCAGAAATAATGGATTTAAGTTGTTATTTAAGTTGGATAAATTTAGATTTAGAAAGGACATAGGTAAGAAAAGGCTAGGACCTTGGGTAACTTTAAGAAGAGATTGGACAAATATATGAGTGGGAGGGGCTGGGTTTGATTGGTGTCATTGGGTACGGGAGTTATTTCTTGGGTAGCTTTAGGTAGAGGTCGTTTTGATAAGGACCTGGCAATATAAACACAAATGCAGTATAATGTGATCCTTTATTGACTACGTTTCGCCCACACAGTGGGCTTTTTCAAGTCACAAACAGAACTACCTGGGGTGGAAGGAACGCGAGTATTTATAGTCCAGCTGAGGTCAGGTGAAGAATGCTGCATCTGATGATGTACCGAGTGGGGTTATCGAGTCTAAAAACTTGGGTAGCTTGGAAAGGAGATTGGATAAGTTGTGAGCAGACCTTCTACAGTGTTCTTATGTGGGATAGCGATGAAGAAGTTTCTTGGCAAATGGTTCAGCTATGTTATAGAAGCCACTATTCTGGTTGAAGTGGTGACGTGTACTTAGCTCAGTGGTGACGTGTACTTAGCTCAGTGGTGACGTGTACTTAGCTCTGTGAAGACCTGTTTGTGTGCTCTCTGTGAATCTGAACCAGGATGCCCTCTCTTGAGCAGCTTTACCAGCAGCTGAGAGAAGAACTCAGAGTTGCTAAACTGGAGATACGGCGATTAACGGAGGAGAACAAGAGGATTCGTAGTAATCCTCCTGTTGTGAGTCCCCAGGTTAAGAGGGGAGCTTGGTCAGTGGTCGGGCAACATGGAACCAAGCTGAAGATTAAGAAAACGGTTGGAGGGCAGAAACGCGAAAACCCCAAAGACGCCT